CACTTAATAAATCCTATGTATCTCTTCATTTTGAAGACACAGTCTTGCATTCAAAACTTTTAATATCTAGTATCCAATCAGGGGAAATATCATATTCTAGGACTTTATCTTATTTTTGTTATTGTTATAACTCATGAATTTTACAAATATATGACCAACACTTTATCAACCAGAATTCTTCTATCTGAACCTGAAGTTTACTATAATGTTGTCAGTCAAAGCTTATTCTGTTTTTTTTTTTTTGAGCAAAAATATTAAGAGAAAGAAAGCTTCTGTCTGAGAGAGAGAAAAAATTTTCCACATATTCAAGTTTCCTGGGAAACATACTCAGCAATGGTAAATGTAAATGTTAAAAGGTAATTGATAGATTCCTATCCTTGAGTAAATGTATAGCAAACATGAAAAAAAAAATAAAGGAAGTAGGAAAACTTCAAAAATTAATTTTTCCAGATTAAAATAACTATGCTAGCCGTGTCTATAGGAAGTTAAAACTTTTCCAGAGATGGTTTACGCTCAGCATTCTGTAATTGTGGGTTCTGCCTCTACAGAGTCAACCAATTGTTAGTGCAAAGTACTGGAAAAATAGTGTCTACAATGAATTTATACTGATTTCCCTTGTCATTATTCTCTAAGCAATACTACAGAACCCTATTTACACAACCGTTATAGTGTATTATGTATTACAGATATCTAGAAATGGTTTGAAGTATACAGGAAAAAAATTCATAGGCTTTATACAAACACTGTGCTATTGTATATAAGAGGTCTGGTTGCCCTTGGTTTTCTATATGCGTAGGGTTTCCTGGCACCGCTGTGACAAAGCTACCCGAGTATACCTCTACTACAGCGGGTGCTGGCACATTGTTTTCTTAACCTCACGGCTTAATGTATAAACCAAGAGGTTGAGTGTATGTGAGGATTGTGCTAGACAAAAAGACACTTGTATGCCTCATGTTATAGATGAAAACATGTAGAACTAAAGTTATTAAAGAGGATTTTGGACAATTATTGACTATCCTTTTCTTGCATAGTGGCCTGTTCTTAGCGTACCTCCAGGCTGTTCTGTCAGTCAACCAGGTCAGTCAATCTAGGTGCATTGTCAAAGAGACAAAGGTCATGTCAGACTGACAGGTCTGCGGTGTGGCGCCACGTGGGGACCAGGAGCTCTTTCTTACTGTTGGCATCTGTCTTTCCTTGACTAATGCCCAAGTCAGAGACCAGAATCATGTCATTGCTGCAGCCTTCAACCACATTTTACAAATAGTGCATCTTTACATGTTCTGTATGTTCCTTACCATGTGCTTCTAACGAACTATTTTTTAGTCTGATTCATTCCTAAAATTAGTCTTTCTATTATTACATAAAAATGAATCACTGTTTCTCAGACTTCTCAGTATCTTCCTTCTATTATTGATGTGGACGACACTACATTTTGTTTGAAGCTCCATTTTCAGTGGCTTCTGTGGTATTCCAATATTGCTATTTTTTCTACTTGTATTTAATTATTTTGTTTCACTAATTCACTGTATTCACTAATTCTGCATGCTTGTCATATCTTCTCAAATATATAGTTCTAAATGTGTGTGCTGAAAAGCCGCCATGAATTGAGCTCTTCATATGTGGCTCTGTGATTAGGGGATCATTTAATGTAGTTCTTGCATGATAGTAAGGTTTGTTCTCATAGCAACTACTTCTGCCTATTGTTCAGATAGTAAACCTCATCTGTGGGTACCTAACATGGCATTACCTCAAGAGGAAAGGTTACACAAACTACAAATACTGTCATCATCTGGAATTTTATAGAAGTACAAGAAAAATCAACAGGTTTCACTTCAATATTTATTGCATTTCATAGTGTTTTAGAAGCATATACCTACCAAACATAAAGAGATGGAATTCTTCCCCATTAAAACTTATTTAATAAATATTTCGAGGCTATCTGAGTCATAAAACATGATACTCAGTATAGATACAAACACTCTGTTTTCCAAATTCAAATACATACACATAAACACGTCCCCACACCTATGTCTATTTATATGGTGATTTTTGCAATAAGGAAAATAAACCTTAAAAAGAGTAAAACATCCATAAATATTCCCAGAATCTGTACTTTCTACTTTCATATCTTTAACTTTGTAATATTATGAATTAGTTCATAATATAAAGCAACTATATGCTTCTTAGTCAGATTATTACCACGTGGTAAGATAAACTTTCCTATTGCTGTTAAAAAAATGTCATTTCTCAATTGATATCAACACAATAGTGACAAAGGCACAACTTTACCATAATTAAATATGAAAGATATTACATGACTGAAGTTATAATTATAGGCTTTGGGAAAAATCAACCAAGAAATAATACCATTAGTTTCCAGCCAAAGTAAATAATGTTATATATTTGTTATCATGAGACAATTATTTTTCCTCCTCCCTGAATGCACTGCTATTAGCTTGTGAGCTTCATTAGGGAGAGGACAAAGCACAGAACCTCCTACGCACAGACACTAAATCAATCTTTATGGAGTGAATAAGTGAACAATAAATTAGCTCTTGAGTCTGAACTGCTGTAAAATCCATTCTGAACAATGTTATGTTTGTAACTGCTTTTACTGTAATATTTACTGACTGTAATTAATTCAGTTGCTAAAAGCTATTGATGGTTTAGGGGTCCATAGAAGTAAAATGTAAAGATACAGAGGGGCTATTTTAAGGGGTGTTAATTGTTCTGTGATTTTTTTTTTTTTTACTGTGATAATGTTTCTAAATTTAAATTTAAGAAAGGACAAAGAAGTCAGTGTTCTAAATTTGTAAAATTTTTTTAAAATACAAAATTAATGGATTATACTAAACTAATAAGTCATACACATATGGAGAATAATTTGGCAAAATTAAAGCAATTATATATATATATATATATATATATAATATATATATATATATATTATATATGTGAATCGGTAAGGAAAGCAGTTAGTTAATAAAAATGCTTCATAACTTTAAAAATTTCTCATGAACATATGTTATCAACATTATATTTGTTAATATATTAATATTACTGTAACATTATACTGTTAATATATTAATACTGTAACACTAATGTTACAGTACATGATGATGTTTATTTATAAAAAGAAGTTATACTATAAAAACTGTGTTGAGACATAGTTTTCCCCCGATGAAAGATTCTCAAATTTCAACAATAAAATCAATCATTAAATAAATCAGTTACAAAGTGAGTAAAAGACACAGATATTTCATCAAAGTGAGTGACAGGTGTATAGATAAGGAGATATTCAATGTCATACACACCTGTCACAATGATATAACGCAAGTAGCAACCACACCGATGCTAGCAGAAATGTGGAGAGGATGGGTCACTCCTATGGTTCTCCTTGGTGGGAATATAACATTAAACAATCACTCTGCAAAACAATTTGGCTGTTTCTGAAAGAAACTAACCGTGGTACTAAGACAACTCAGTAATTGTACTCTTGATCATTTATCGCAAGAAATAAAATAGGGAGAAAGCTGTTTATTTGCAAAATGTGTAAACTGGAAGGGCAAGTAGTCAAGTCTTTTCAGCCCCTGGCCTCCAGTAGCCACAGCTTACAATTAAATAGATTCAGTGAACGCCCACTCAAGAAAAAGAGAAATATGCAAATCTATCATCCAAATGGGAATCTTTAACCAACCTTTTAATATCTAAAATGTCTAATACCTAAATAGGAACATCACTAAAAATAGAGTGACAAGCCCTAGTAAGCACCGAATCACCTAGCTGAAACGTAGAATATGTCACTAAAATGATCAACATTCCTCCTTTTTTGGTGCACATGGAACATTTCTCAAGTGCTTCATATGCTGGCTAAAACAAAGACTGAGCAAAGGTCAAAAACTTAAAATCATTCAGCAGGAAGCTATACTAAAAAGCAATAAAAGTGATAATTTTAAAGTCTCCAAATTTTTCAAAATTTTGCAGGCCAAATTTAAATAGTGTAGAGCCCAAAGAGGTAACATAAATGAGAAGACACCATTAAATAAGGGGAAACACATAAATGTCAGTACTACGGATTTTTAACAGGAACAAGGACAATAGCCTCCATCTTCCAAAGTACTCCAGAAAGCAGCAAGGACACAGCAGAACAGTATCTGAAGACACTGGCAGGGTCAGAGAAGGGCTGATAGCTGGAAACCTCAGAAGTGACAGGTGGGGAGGACCCTGAGCCTCCCTAATCTTTCTCACATGTATCCTAGCCAGGGTTCCCTAGAAGACGCCACCAACATCACAAATACCAGCTCCAAGGAAAAGACTGGGGAATACATTAACTAAATCCAGACAGGCTTTGGACAATTCCCAGCCCAGTCCAGTCACAGTCTGACCAAAGCCTGTCCCTCCCCAAAGTGTCAGCAGGGAGAGACAAGAGCCTCATTTTGAACTAGATCTCTGACTTCCTTTCTGGTATTCAGAAAGTATAGAATGGATAGAATATGGTTCTTTGCACAAACGTCTGTCTCAAGAAATCCTAAAAACAAAACTTCAAGCTGAGAAATTCAAGGAATACAGGCAATACAGATAAAAGGCATACAGCAGAGATCGTTTTAGAGTTCAGCAGTGGGAAAAAGAAGCCATCACTGGTGACTGTAGACTTATTTTAAAGACGACGAAATGAAAGATTGCGTATGAACCTTGCAATTTAAAGGAACACCCCAAATTCCTAGACAAAAGTAGGGGCACCAAAGAAGACACATAAATATAGTAAACGCACGAGTAAATCTACAATATTGCTACACACACTGAATTCATCAACACAGTGGGAGCTTTAGTTTTGGTTTCTGCCACAGGATGCATACGTGTTTTATGAGGAGCACACCATTCTTTTAGGGCTGTCCATCCTGCTCTCAGAAATCTGCATAGGGAGGAGGAGAGGGCCTGGCGCTCAGTCTGAGCACAGCCAGCCCTAGGTCGAGCCAGGGCAGGGGGGACCACACACTCACCGGCTCAGGTCGGTCCCAGGTGCATACTGTGAGAAGCGCGAGTGCAGGAGCGGCAGCAGCCTGAGGTCGCACCACCGCTTCTCCCACCGCAGGCCTGGCGAGGTGGGCCAGGAGGAGCAGGACAGCGTGTCCTGCAAGGGACACACACACAGTCAGGACTCCTTCCCCTTCTGTGCCACCCTAAGTGTCAAAACACTGAGAGATTTTTAAGAAGACGTTGAACTCTTTAGGAGAAAAAAATCCATACTGATCCACCCTCACTCTGGGCCCCCTAATTTCACCATTCAGGTAACTCTCTAAGTAGGCAGAAGGATTCTTTCAGTTGCAAAGCACGGGTTAAGATGCAGGAAAACTGCGAGGTGGAGGGAAGCGGAGGAGTAAAAGGGTTGCAGACCTGGATTCTTTCAAGATTAGGACAGATAATAAAAGCAAAACTAAATGCAGTGCAAATAAAAATAAGCTGTAATTCATTCAATGAAGCAACGTTTTCTGATTGGTGAATGCTAAGCACCATTAGAGGTGCCTGTAATGTATTAGTTCCTGGAAAATATTTATACATAAATGGGCATTCCTATACAACAGCTTTGAGAACAGTGACAGGGAAGTCTCTGCTCACTATTAGTGCTTAAGGTATATAAAAGTTTATGCAATATTTCCTTATATTGGTTCATATCATACAAGACAACTACTATTGGCTTTAAATTACATGTATGCTCATCTTTATTAGGAGCTTGTTTTTCACTCTAAATATGTCTTTGAAAACAGCTAGCTTTGTCATATGGTATTTTATTCCGGCCTCAGTGTTGAAATGTTTCTGTACCACTTGGCAGGTTATGAGTCTGTCTTGGCTCCACTTCACACAAGAACTGTTGACTCTGTTTCCTCTGTTCACTAATTTTTAAGTGCTGATGTCAAAAAGACTTTATGTTATTTCAAATTTGACACTTTGCTGTCAACATTTTGTTATTACCTTCAGTATTCTTTAAGTGGATTAGGAAGAAAATGGTCAAGATGTTCTAAGTCCATGAAATAGTTCAAAATATTTGGAAAGTTGGACCAAGATCACCCGTGAAGGGTCTTGAGCACAAGCCCTGTGATGGAGACCATCATTTTCAGTGGTTATCTGGTGGTTACAAAGACTCAAGCCAAGATTTCCAATCAGTCTTTCTAATGGGCTCATGTAAGGCATCACAGGTGTCAGCCTGTGACGTGAGGTTACTGCTTAGGTCAGTTGTCATGAGTAGTTATCTCCTCATGCTACATGTCGGAGTTCTCAGCAGGTGATGTGGCATCTTTTCTTCATTTTTAGATGGCATAGGTGGTCAGCATGTGACATGGGGACAGTTTGGTAGCAGTATAACAAAGTGGTGAGACCATCTGCGTTTGAATCCCAATCATTTAACTTAGGATTCCATTAACCTAGGGTCAAGTTATTTAGTTATTGTGTCTCTCTGTGCCTATTTTCAAACTAGGAATAGCAATAGCAATGACTAGCAAGAATAAAACAAATAAACGAAGGAGTGCTTACAATATACTCAACACTGAACTTCCTGTAGTTTTAATTTCTCAAAAAATCTAATGGCAATTTTGCCTTTATTAATAACAGCAGGCTACTTAAAAGTAACACTTGGTAGAAAGACGTATACACTAACCAAGTAATATATTTCATGATAATTTTGAAAAATGACAAACTATTTTAAATATGAAATTGCCAAAAAGAAAATTCTTATTCACTCTAGCAATATAAGGACTACTACTTTCTATAATCTTTCACTATACCAAGTGCTTCAAATCCATTACTTAAAGCCCTTGCAAAAGTATTTAGTTTGTATAGGGAAAAAAAGGTTGTTTTGTAGAAGCAAGGAGCTATGACTTTGTTTTTCTGCAAGAGAAGGAGGAAATAAGGCAGTGAGGCAGAGTTGGACAAACAGACCAAGTCCTTGAGTGTCTGTCTTCCTGTTGGCCTTGTGCCAAAGTTATGAGTACTTAATCCATGATGTAGGATCACATATTTGTTTTGATTGGATTAGTTGTGCAGCACATGATGTGTCTAAACTGCAGCCCACATCGACACAACCTGAAGCGCACTACCAGGACCATGTGCGCATGCCCATTCCTGAAGGCTTTACAGCAAACATCACCAAGTCATTCAAATAGCTAATGGTAACTCTAGGATTCACTCAGCCCAAACTGCCTGCATTCTTCAGCCAAACTGTATTGTAGCACATGATTTACATTCATAATCAAAGTTGAAATGATAGACTAATACAGATTTTTCAGTTCATTAACATTTTTGTCATAAAATGTTTGGCAAGTTAACTAAGGATGGTTCCTCATGTTTCATGAAAGGTACAAATTATTTTTCTTGCTTTTCAAGTTACATGAATGAAAAATATATATAAAAAAAAGAGGCAGTCAAACACTGAAAACAATGACAATCACCAATAGGTGGAGTGACATTTTAAAAATAATATTGATGTCATAGATTAGCAGATAAGAAAATACTTGTGTTCATTGATATTTATTTTTAATATCCTGATGCTATGTATCAGTGTTGCAAGTGTGTCATTTTCTTTTATGCTCCCTCTTTATATGAAATATGAAGTAGATCTAATCAACTATTGGGATAACCATAATCAGGCTTGATATATTCTATATTATAGAGCAGCCATTTACAATGAAATACCTAAAAGCCTTTAAAGATTACTTATGCTGAATTAGTTTAATTATAAAAACATATAAATATGCTCTCTGTCCATTTGTTGTAATACTGTAGTTGTTTAGAATTGTGTAAAAGATAATTTGAAAATGGAATCATTTTATGACTTTGAAAATTATAGTAATTTTTAAAGAAATCTGCCATGTCAAGAATATTGTGTCCTAAAAGTGTTAAGAATACAAATGGAAAGTAACATTTATATGCGCCTTGCTTTAAGATAGACTCTGTGCCAAACCAACACACACTGTACAATAACCTCAAGAAACATCATCCTACCAAAACAGAATTGTATGCAAGGCAGCATGTTGATCCAGATTTTATTTAGAACTCAGCATAGAGTGCATTTAATAAAAGTAAATGGCAAAAGAAAATGGTTTGCAGAAATTGTTAACTGATTATCTGAATCAGAGTCTCCAAAACAGTTTCCGTTACTCTATCTCAGAGAAAGGAAATTCAGTGGATTGGGCTGGGCTATCCAATGTTTGTGTCTTGGTTGTCAAAATATATGACTCTTGTACTCCCTAAACCTAGCAACCTCAAATCCTTGGAAGGCATAGGCTATCTTTTCATGTGAAACAATGAGGTAATTTTAATATATTATGTTTTTATTTGCTCTGATGCTCAAATGCTTCCGTAAAGTTTAGTAAGGATGTTTCAAAAACCAAAACTGTGCCACTTACTCAAAATTCACAATTGTTTTTAAAGTAAAATGGAATTCTTAGGCCCAGAAGAGAATTTTGGATTAGTTACTCTGTGGTTGGATTAGTTACTCTCCCCCACCCTGCTCAGGTTACAAGTCCCATACTTGTTTTAGGGAGATGCTCAGGTTACAAGTCCCATACTAGAAGGGCCTGCTTCTGTATCCCATAGCTGAGACACACAACACGCTCACAGGGAAGTGCAGTAGCCTGGGAACTGGCAAAAGGGCTCCATACAAAGGGGAATGGGGACATGAATATGGCTCTAATATTACAGCAGCGGGATCTGGGGCATCAGCAGGAGAATGGGAGTGAATAGGAGCATCTAAGGCATAGACAGCATTTAGAAAGTAAGCAAAATATGTATGAAAATTAAGAAACTAAACTAAATGGGGCTATAGCTGTGGTTCAGGGAAAGAGCTATGCTGTTATGCACAAGGGTCTAGATTCAAAGCCTTGCATGGGGGGAAATAAAAATTGGTCAGCGAAAGAAGTCTCTAGAACTGTGGGATTTGCTGATGAAACTGTTCTTCATTAGGAAACTCAGGGTTTACATGACTCAGATCTTGCCAGAATATTGGTGTATTAAATATTATTGGGACAATTTTTCCTTTAGTAAATAAAATATAAAAGATCAGAGGAAGTATATCTAGATGTGATTGGTTTTATGGGCATCCTTACATTTGTAGCCATAACCTTTTGTTTTAGCAAATGTTCTTCTCTCTAAAGAAAAGCAGTAAACACTGGAGCACCTCAGGTTCTTCAGGAACAGGCACCGCTAGTGCTGCTGGCCAGGCTATGCAAGCCTCAGGTTATTCAAAAAGTCTTTTAGAGTAAAATGCCACATTTAGGTCAAGAATTTCAAATAGTGGATGAGTCACACGAGTCAGAAAAGACTGCGTTTTGCACATTTTAATACGTGGGGCAGAAAAAATAAAACTCTCCGTTAGGACAACTGTGCTAAGCTTCATGTTTATGAGTACAGAGAACAATACTAAAGAATAAACTAAAGAGTACAGAGAATAAACTAAAGAATTCCTTCCATCTCTAATATGTGTGTTTTGAAGGCCAAACTAAAAGGAATTTCAGACATTTATAGAAGAAGAAACCTATGTACTCCAATGTACAAGTAAAAAAAAAAAACCTTGAAAATTGATTTAAATGTCTGCAAAATAACATGCTAATTTTATATTCTATGAAATATGCTATTACATTTCAAAATAATGTGTAGATAAGATTTTGTACTAATTCCCTGGTAGGCATAGATTGCTAAATTATAACAAATGATGAATGCTTTTAGCTAAATAAGAGAGAAATGATAAAAGCTGTGTCAAATCATGTAGAGCATGAAATTACATATAATATGAAATGTTCTAAAATGATTGTGTGATATTATTTATAACCTCCTCAAATGAAAAGTATTCAAAATATAAAAAATATCTAATATACTTAGACCTAAGAAGAGAAAAGCAAAATGAAAGTAATGTCACATTTTTCTAGGCTTATTATTCCATTTAAATGACAAAGAAATGCAGGATTTTATATCTATCAGACACTTTTGAATAAATATGGTAGCAGTTTTTACAAATTACATATATCTGTACATATAATACATGGATTTTCATTGTATTATCTCATTAGCCAGAACTACGCCTAGGCTGTCTTACTGTGTTGTTGGGATGATAGTTCAGATGCAAACCACTGTCACAAAGAGGAGAGGAGGTGCCACTGCTCTGATCACTTGGAGCACCTGCAGGAAACAAAGCCCAAGTCCTTCAGTTAGAATGTCATGACATCTTATGGTGACAGAGTCCACATTAAACTTTCACCCTAATAGCAAGTAGATCAAGTCCTAAAATAAGATTGCATTTAACTAATGTCAAAACCAGAGTTTTTCAAGTAAGCTAAGCAATTTCAGATACTGGGGCACTAATAGAGACTCATAGTTCTCAATGATCTCCAAAACATTAAGAATTTATTTAAAAAATGCATAACTTTATAGGAAATATTATTTTGTTACATTATCTAAAGTGGCCTAGCTTAAGAACTATACTGAAAATAGTGCATGATTTCATTTGTCTAAGAGTTCCATTTTGTGTCGTTTTATCTTTATGTCAAATTCTCTATTTAGAGTCATAATTTTCTTTAGTACAAAATATTTTACATCTGTAAAACAATCTTTAAAAGTTGAAAACATTAAAAGATATTTTACATGTGTTCTGTTTTACAAGTGCTCTTGTTAGATCTTCTAAGGCTCTCAATGAATGTATCTGCTTTCATGAAACTATAATGACAAAGGTCTGTATTCTGTGCTCATGAGAAACTTTATGGTAATGGGTTACCATGAAGCAATATATGAATTATGGCAGCTTCAGAAGAAGACAGATAAGAGCATAGAATCTATATGAAGAAAAGGTGCTCAATAATCTCCCAAGTCAGAGAAAGGAAATGATCTTCCTTTCAAGAAACTTAAAAAAAAAAAAAAAATAGCAACCTCAACTAGCATAGAACTAATAAAACTGTCAAAAGTCTCAGGTAAATATAAACTATTGAAGCAAGAGAAGAACAGTTTGCACAATAAAAAGAAGCTCTGTTATTAACCACAGATCAGCAAAGTATCCCAGGCAGGAAAGGAGTGGGATTATGGTATACCATAATTGCTAAAATAAAATAATAATGTGCAAGTATTAACTATTTTTAACAGAAATTTTCATCCAAAGGAAGGAGAAATACAGATTTGCCTAAGTAGAAAAAGCTAAGGAAGTTTATCACCACCAGAGAGCTTTATACAAACTTTAAATTCTCTGAATTTGAAATGAAAGGACACAGGAAACTCTTTAAAAATTTATGCAAAGTAAAAATTTCATCATAGTTAAATCTACAGGCAAAAGCAGAATTCTGTAATACTGTAAATAGAACTCTCATGGTTATCATCAATACAAGGTAAAAACAAATTTGCTGGTGGGGATTAAGAAAAAGGGAAATTTTAGACAAAGTATACTTAGGATAGCCATTGTGAAGGTTCCTCTAAAAACTTAACATAGAGCTATCATGAGACCCAGTAAATTCACTACTGGGCATCCAACCAATGCGCTGGAAGTCAGTGTGCCAAAAATGTATCCTCACTGTCATGTTATTGTGACACTGTTGATGACAGCCAACATGTACACTAGGCCTATTGAGTGTGTATTCAAGAATCAATAGAGAAAGTAATGACCACACAAAAGAATGAAAATTAACCATTGAAGCAACATGGAGAGGCCTGAGGGGTGTCATGCAAGTCATATACACCAGACACAGACATAGTCTCACTCATACATAGAATCGAAAAGAGTTGGTCTCATAGCAGTAGAAAATAGGATAGAGTTTACCAGAGACTGGGGGGGGGGGAGAAATAGAAGGAAAAGGAGACAGAGAAGATTGGTTAATGAGCAAAAAATTAGTTTGGAGGATTAGGGTAACAATAGTTCATTGTATATTTCAGAATTTCCAGAAGAGAGAATTTTAAATGTACCTAATATAAATAAATGTTAAATGTTTGATGGGATAGACATGCTTATTAACCTATTTGATCATTGCACATGCATAAATGTGTCAAAGTAACACTACACTCAATGACTTTATGGAATTATGTGTAAATTCAATATTTCAAAAAATAAATTCAATCATGCCGAGAGATGAACCTTGAGGACATTATTCTAAGTATTTCAAAACAAGGTTGTCAAATGGCATTTTATGGGGTATCGAAAACGATCAAATTCTTATCAACAAATGTGAATGCTCTTTTCCAGAACATAGAGGTGTTAGAAATGAGAATCTGTTGTTTTGTTGTTTACAGAGTACGGTTTCAGTTTTACCAGATAAAAATTGGCAAGATCCGCTGAACAGCTCTGTGCACTTCACTCGGGCTACTGCAGCGTGCACTCAGACGTGCTGCTCAGACAAATCTTAGGATGCGTGTTCTTACTGCGATAGACATGTGCTCACTTTGGAAATGTGTCTGGCAATTTATTAACAAGTTAACTACGCATCTATCCTGTCACTAGGCAGCTACACCCCCGTGTAGTTATTACCCTGAGATGAGACTGTAAAGCCTTGCTGAAAGCCTTGTACTAGAACATTTAAAGCAACTTCATTATTGAGAATAAAATAAAAAACAGATGTGATATTTTAAAGAGGAGAATGCATTAATAAAGTCAGTGTGTTCATACAATGGGATATCACACAGGAACACCAGCAAATAAACTACTGGAATAGATAAGAGGTGAATTCAATTGTTCATAATGGATAAGACAAAATGTTTAAATATGTCTCAGGTTCATGAATTTATAGCAGAGGCAAAATACTGTATGATTATGAGAAATTAAGTCAGTGCTTTTTCCGTGGCTGTTATTTTCTGGGACTGGTAACAGAGGAACTGTTCTATTATTGAGAGCAGTGCGGTTTAGCAAATGTTTGCCTTTCAAAACCATTCCAGCTGTGCATTTGAAATCCTTTCATTTCATTTCAATGTACATTATGCATCAGTTAAAAATGTCCTTTATTTTTAGCAAAAGTATTAGATAATAAGCATTTCATTTCAGAAAAAAAAAGAACAAAGAAAATAGCCTGGTAAAGAACTTTTAAAGTAACTCTTGTGTAAATTACTACATTTGCCAAGAAGGAAATACTTCCTTCAATATTTCTGCTCTCCTCTGGAAAATTTAAGTCGGAATGCTTGTTCAGAAGGGAATATGATTTTGTGGTTAGAAAAAATATATCCAACTAACAGTATGTATGAAGTTCAATACAAATTATAAATTATAAATACATGTATGGTCAATATGTTTTGAAAGAAAAATATTATTTAGTTCCTTTCCATAGTGCCAGGAGAACACTTTGGGGTATGAAGACGTTTATATTTAGGCAGGAATCCTAACTTTAAAGGAAGTGAACAGTGGCCATCAGGAAACAATTGCTTAGAAAGTTAGTGTGATGCTGTGACTTCCTTTATAAATGCTTACACGCACAGTCTTCATTCAGTGGGAGCTTGAGGAAGGCAGGTGCTCTTTTTAAAAATGAGACTGTTAACGTCACTTCCTCTCCAGCATTCCGAAGGACCTGAACCTGTAAGCAGAACAAATAAAAGTAATGCAATTATCATTATAATTACAATTTTTACATGACTGAAAACTTTTAAATTATTAGTTGTTCCACTTCTTATTTTCCTTGAGTGGTGAGAAATACGCTATGAAAGGTAAAGGACCAAATTGCTCAGCAGGTAGTGTGGCAGCTCCCAGCCCTCACCTCCTCAGCCCGCTGTGGCCTTCCCTACACACACAGTGCACCTTTCTCCTGCATTCTCAACAATCAAAGCTGTGGAATTTAAAGAATGTAAGGTCAATTAAATGTCTACATTATACTTTTATTATTAGCATGTTTTTGCAATGCATAATAATTATATTTATTGTAGGAAATTGATTATGTATACATATCACATCTTAATCTTTTTCCACTTTTTCCCCATCCTTCTTTCCCAGCTCTCCTGACCCCAATGCAAAATTTTAAACTTTGAAAGAAAAATGAAGCTGATGAATTCTTTGGGTCAACATACCTGGGAAATAACTATACATGAGTTTAGATTTTATTGTGTCTAAAGGTATGGGCAATTCTTCTGAGGATAGCAACAGGCATTATGGTAGCCATTATTGATTTCCTTTTATTTTGTTTCTGAGTTATGTACCATGTTCATCCTTTTGTTTTGATTGATTCCATTCTGTTTTGTTTCATTTGGCTTTATTCCCTTCTAAATAAATAAATACCTTTTTGTCATTATAAATAAATAAATGCATTTGGAATTTAAACCATCATACAAACTAAGAGAATTAAGACTAGCTAGTTAAAAATCATTTTATGCACATGACAGTATAACTTGTTATTAAATATACAGAAAATCCACTTCCTGTTGGGAAAGTCCCTCTAGGCCTGAGAATTCTGTTCCTTCCCCAGAAGTGCTGTGTGACCTGGAACACTGCCAAGAAATTTTTATTCTTAAATGTCCAGGGGAGCCACTTCATCCTCTGTAAATCAGGAGAGTGCAAAAGTGGGAAACGCTTTCTTTCCAGTGTCTCCACAATCTTACTTCCTCCATTGGCATGGGGTGACTTTCCTCAAAACACTCATCCGGAACTACGTATCCTCACCACTGCACAGTTTGTCTCTACCCAGTTAATGGAACCAAGATCTAACCTGGGCAAGCTCTCTTTGTTTCCAGTTGTTATCAACATGGAACACTGAAATTCTCATGACAAAGAATGAGCCCATCAGCCTAGAGTGGTACTAGATAGGTTTTAGAATATATACCATGAAAGGGACTGGTTCTCATAAACTAGTGTACTAAATATTATAAATAACTATTTACAAAATCTTATGTAAGTCACTAATGTAGGATCTTAATAAAAGGGTAGCATAACCTAGTAAACAAATTATATGTATGCAACAACAATCACATGTCAATCAGGAATATTCAATTTTGAAAGAGAAGACATAACCAACTAGGACAGGAAAATCACATTTTGGACTTATCCAAAAAGCATTTTAAAGCAATCATAATAAAGATGTTTCCAAAAGGAATTGAAAGTTCTAATGAAACAAATGAAAATTTATAAAAAAACTCGGAAGGAAATAGCAAATTGTAACACAGATCAAAATGAAAATTATAGAACTTAAATACATAATGACATCAATAAAATTTTGTTCATTAGCTCAATAATAGAGTAGAAAAGAAAGAGGACAGAATTACTAAGATGAGACAGAACCATATCATTCACCTAAACTGAACGTTAGAGGTGATCTAACAAAAAAAAAAAAAAAAAAAAAAAAGAGAAACACTTGATTCAAGAAGCTGAGGAAACTACAAATAATATAGCCAAAGAAAACTACATCAACGCACATCACTATTAAGTTCTGCAGTCTAAAGCACTGATTTTTAAATACTTTTAAAAGCAGTTGAAGATACGGGACATATAAATACTTTTTTTTAACAAATCAAATTCAAGAATAATTTTAAAATATACTGCTTTGGCTTGTGTCTTGAGGCCCCCACAAATCCCTGTGTGGTCAGGAGATCATGCTTTGCAGAGATGAATGAATCTAAAGTTTGTAGTTGATCCATGGCCCAATGCTGGGATTAGGGACATGCATCCTACACACATTAGCATGGACAGTCTCCATGTAATATAAGGGACAGAAAGCCTCTTGTCTCCTTTGCTTGTTGCTTTTGCTGTTTTTGTCACCATGAACTGTTTCCTCCCTGCCAAGCCTTGAAAAGGCATCCAGTTACAGACTGAAACCTCTAGACATTGTAAACGAAGTAAGTCTTTCTTAATTTGTTCTAAATTTCTTAATGTTTTCTAAATTAGTCTTTTTTAATTTGTTCTGTATTTTGTCTTAGCAATGAGAAAAAGTTACTAAGACATAGAGTTTGATCTAAATGATGTTTAATCTAGAGATACAAGTTTGATTTACCATTAGAAAATGGATTAGAATCATTAACATATAGAAAAATTAATATTACTTCCAGGATATTAAATGGAGCAACAAATAATTTTGATAGATTCAAAAACATTAGTAAATTCTCATAGAAAAATTTGTAGAAATAAGTATCATTATCCTTCATTTTATAGAAGTTATATACAAAGAAAGCACTTAAGCATCATTGTTAACGATTTGTTATTGAAATATTTTCTTTGAGATCACAGAAGGTAAATATTCGTTATCCCCATTTTTCCTTAGCATTTCCTCAGGACTTAGGGCAATAAAGTGACATAGTTACTAATACACATAAAAATTGAAGATAAAATGAAAATGTGATTATGAGAGATTTCATGCTTTGGGGGACAGGAAATCCTTAGATCTCTCAGAAACTATGAGGAGATATTATTCAGTGAGTCATAAAGGGAGCACAACATGGAGTATCATCGGTACAAAATACATATAGATCTATGGGATTTTTAAACATCAATTAACAAGCAAAAATTCATTTTTAAATAATGAGGAACATTTTATACCATGGATTGATAGATCCAATATTATTAGGTTATCAGTTCTGCTCTACTTTTCCATAGATTGAAGACATTTACATTCAAAGTCCAAATTTTTTCTTTTCTCTAATCTGAATGTATTAATTTGGTTTAAGAATTTGCATTGTGATTCTATTTGAACTATTTAATGCTGATGCTGTCAGTATTACATAATTTAATTGACAATTTGTGAGGAAGTGAAATGCATACAGCACGAATGCAAACAGAATGAAGCAGTTTAATATTCAACTTCAAAGTGTACAGTGCAAGGTACCTGGAGGTAAACAAGGACATGACAGTATGGGAACCTTAAGTGGTAATGGGGGAATAAATAACTAATGTACAAGTTAACACAGCTGCCTAACAAGAAGAGAATGGACAACTCAAAGCTGAAAACATAAAAATTTTAAAAATCATAAAATCTCACCTTAAAAACATTTTCAAAATGAAAGTTGACTTACAGAAGAGTATTTGTATCTGTCATCACAGTTTCAAGAACTTTACACATACCTGTTTCTTAATTAAGGCATGGGATACCATTAATAATGTGTGTGATTAATTTTTTTCAGGTTTATTCCTGCGCTTTGAAGCAACACTTCACCATACTGATCTTGTCTGGTTGAACAATGTAAGTTCTATTCCATGAGTAGCACAGAGCAGATTCTTCTTAAAAAATCAGAAATCCATGCCAGCAAAATTATTTTCATCACTTCTTATTATTCAAATTAAATACTCTGAACTTTAATCAGAAACTGTATTAGTCCTGTTATTCTTGCAGATTGCTTTAGGGTAAGCATATTATCAAAGAGACAGAAGATGGTAAATGATAACAATCAATCAGAGTGGGAAAGGAAGATGGTATTTATAAGATATTTATGGCTTTAATATTAAGTCCACTACAAATCTAACAACTCAGTTCATGAACTGTGTGCTCTTGTGTTCTACTTATTTGGTAAAATGGAAACATAAAGCCTTTCAGTTATTCTGTCCATTTGTCTCTCTCCTTGGAATCCGGTCTCTCTTATATGAGGAATTTTGATACCTACCTATGATCTGTCAAGAGTGCCCTTAGCTACAACTATTATCATTCTTATTTATTCTTATAGAGTTCTGATTCTTTGTACATATTTTGAGCACAAATCATTAAACACACACACACACACACACACACACACACAAAACCTTCAGAGAGAACATTACAGCAAAAACACTAGTGAGTATCTTTCTTAGCCTAATGTCATGTAGAGAGATTCAAACATTATTTAGATTTCAAAAGAAGAAAACAAGTATTAGTGCTCACAATAGTGACAGAAAACTGTTGCCCAGAATTTTGTCTTCCCACTGGACTCAGTAAATTATTTCCTTAAAGTCCTGAAGCCTGATCACAAAGAACCTTGAAGAAGAATCTGTGATTTGATTTTGAGATGTTGCTTTACAGGTAAACTCAGTAAGCTATCCTAGAAGTTGTAATGTGTGTTCCATTTATAGATCTTCGAACAATGAGTACATGATGACCAAATTAAGAGAAAGATCTTTTTTATATAATTGTTGATGAATTGTTGGGAAAAACAGAACTTGGCTTATCAATTGTGTCACTGAGTAACATGGATGAAGCTAAGATTTTGTACAGGTCAGGCTGTCCCCCTGAATAGTCAATTCTGTATTTGCTGGTACATGTAGTTTACAGAGGAGCCAAGGGGTACCTGAGTGTAATAGCACAGTAAATGGTTTAATGTACCTGCATACATTCAGCTGACACGCTGCACACAAGGTGACAGTTTCCACCAAAGCAATAGAGCCTTCCCCAGGGGGCACTAGAATACCAAAGAAGGAGACTTTGATGTTTCCAAGAGTTGGTGCATTCAGATTAGAAAATAAATTAAGAGCAAAAGCAGAAATTATTCAGATGGCAAACAGAAAATGGAACTACTTTTACTGAATTTTCATAACTCACCATTGGAAATAGTGAGAGAACCAAATGCAAGGTGGTAAGTATAACATGAAATACAGAAGAAGCAACTGAGGAGAAATGTCAGGTGACTGAGA